CCAGTAACCGGAGAGCTTTGCCTCGGCTCAGGCCTCTCTTCGCTCTGACAGACTGGTGCAGCGCCTGCACCACTGCCGATGCTGCTGTGATCAGACTATAAATCTTATGCTTCGTTCTTCTCCTCACTTGTGATTAAGACCCAGAGCTTCCTGAAATGCCATTGTGGTTGAGAGGTTTAAGTGCCTGAGTAATCCCAGGGGGACGCAGCTTGCCTGCGGTAGAGTTTCACAAAGCAAATGTGGGGTTTTTTTTTACATCTGAGATCTCAGAGCCTGCAGAAGGAGCATCAGCATAAGTGTTGAGGAGTTCCCTCTGCAGGATGAAAGTTGGGTTTTGAGAAGGCGTTGATAATTAATCTGCATGAACAGCCCAGAGGAGACTTTTTGTTATAACTGGTGAGCTTTACTCTTGAGTCAGTGTTTAAACAAAAGATGGGATTGAATTCTGCTCCAGACTGAAATTAGACTCATGAACACTGAATATCTGTTTCGTCGTCAGTCAGCAGAGCAGGTTCTGGTGTCGTCATGCTTTTAATGTACTTCCTGATATGTAATACTGTTAATATCGGGTGTTTTGTGCACATTTCAGAAAATGCTGAGGTTTTTGTCTCCATATGGATGTACTTTGTGAGAGAGACAATAAAATGTGTTGGGTTTTTCACTTTGACATGACTTGATTAAATAAACAACCACCTACAAAAGTTGTAAAAGTGTCAAAAATAATAAGTGTCATAAAGAAATGTTTTTTAAGTTGATGCAACAAACTTAGAGACAGTCTTTTTTTTTCATTCCCAAAACTGCTGGCCACAGCTGTGGTGTGCACCGTCAATAGAGCTGGTTTCTCCCAGCATCACTCGTCACATTTGTAGGTTGTTCTCCTGGAGCTCTCCAGGTTTCTTCCCATGCAAAAAGCATGGATACTCCACAATAAAATGTTTGTGTTTTCCGTCTCCGTGTGTTCCTGGGCTTGACCAGCAACTTGTCCAACCAGCAAGTATGGAAAGCTGATGGATGAATGAAAATGGCAACTCAAAGATTCCATCTGAATGTTGTAAAATCACAGAAATCCATGAAAATCTAAAGCTTCCAACATGAATTTACTACATACAGCAGACATTCACTACCTGGCCAAAAAAAAGTCACCACCAAAAACAGAAACGTTGCACACTGATATTTTTTTGGACCGCCTTCAGCTTTGATTACAGCACACACATTCGCTGTGGCGTTGTTTTCCAATCCAATCTAAATGTATTTATAATGCACGTTTATCAACAGCTGACCAAAGTGCTGGACATAAAATAAAAGACAATATAAAACAGACGGGTCAAGGGTTAAGATTAACAGATTCAAATACCATAGGGGAATAGGAGATAATAGATAAAAATAACAACGTAAGAACAAATACTAAATACCAAAAACAACATAAAAAGACAAAAAAATTAAAAGCCTAAAAGACAATAACACCATAAATCAATCATTCTCACTACAGTCCTGTCCATAGAATCAAGTACCAAAAGCGATAGTGAAGTATTGGGTTTTAGGGTACACATTTTTGTACATTTTCGCTGGACAGAAACAACTCTTAATTGACAGAACGCCCTCTAGTGACCGGCTGAAGTATAGGTTTAAAGCTTCACCCTCTTCTTGTAAATGAATGAACATATTTCATTTGTTTATTTTTCTTCTCACTCTGCAATTTCATTCATCCTTAATTCACAATACAATCATCAAGTACAATCTTCCAAGTGGAAAAAAGAGGAGGAAGAAGAAGTGTTATATGCCCTACCCACTAGATAATTTACAAAATGGCCTTATACACAAACCACGTCTACAACTTTCTTTTCTTTCCAAATGATATCACAATGAAAACTTATCAATATCCTGTTTCCGTATTTACTATTCAAATCATAGGATTTTATCTCATACTAAAATATGAAATTACACCTGGAATTATTTTTCCTAGATGTTGACTCTGATTTCAACTGTTTGTATCTTGCTGCTGCATATTCAAACACTGTTTATTTTCTCTGTAGCGCATACTAGGGCTGGGTGATGTGGCCTAAAATAAATATCACGAAATATTTAGGATTTCACCTCGATAGCGATAAATGGACGATAACTGCAGGCATGCGCAGAAACAAAAGCTGTCCACTAGATGGGGCTGTCGCATGTAATACGCTGAGTCACATTTTCACTGACTCAAAGAGGTACAGCTTCGTAAAGTGACATGAACGTTGCCAACCTACACACATCTTTTCATTTTTTAATCATTTGATTTATTGATATGGGAAAATTTATCTCGATAAAGGTCAGAAATTTCAATAACGATAAATTTTTGTTTGGAGGTATTAAGAGTAATAATGAAGTAAAATTGAATCTAATGTTGAAATTGAAAAGTATATGAGACTAAATTTTTAGGAGTAATAATTAATGATGAACTTTGTTGGAAGTCTCACATAGATCATGTGAAACGGAAATTATCTAAGTCTATTTCTATTCTTTACAAAACAAGAGATTTATTGCACAAGAGCTGCCTTTATTTACTGTACACGTCGCTTTGCTTGCCTTATATGAGTTATTGTGTGGGAATTTGGGGGAAAACATACAACACATATCTGGATTCAATTTTTAAATTGCAAAAAAGAGCTATTAGAATAATAAATAAAGCTGGATATAGGGAGTCCACAAACCAATTTTTTGTCGGATCAGCTATGTTAAAATTTAAGGACATTATATATCTTAAAACTTTAGAGATGGTGTATAGAGTGGTGAAAAAGAATGTTCCAATTTGTATTTTAAGTATGTTTAAATTAAGAGATGGAAAATATGATCTGAGGGGGTCTTATATGTTTGAAATACCTAAAGTGAGAACTAACGCTAAGTATAGATGTGTGTCGGTTTTGGGAGTGAAGTTATGGAATGGACTTAATGATGAACTGAAGGTGTGTTATTCTTTGTCATTTTTCAAGAAAATTTTTTAAATGTGCATCTTCCAAAGTTATAGAAACTTAGTTTGATGTCTAACCTTGTGTTGATTTGATTTCTTGATTAATCATTGCTTTTTCTTTAAATGTTATGCATCTTACCTATCAGCACTACTTTTTTTTCCTCTTGGTTAAGGATTTGATTATCTCTGTGGGAGTTTAGGATAGGCTGATTATAAGCCACTAGGCTTCAACCTGTTCCTTTTTTCGGTTGCTTGATTACTTTTATGTAAAATTGATAAATTGTTGTTGTTGACCGAATAAAAATATCTATCTATCTATCTATCTATCTATCTGTCTGTCTGTCTGTCTGTCTGTCTGTCTATCTGTCTATCTATCTATCTATCTATCTGTCTGTCTGTCTGTCTATCTGTCTATCTATCTATCTATCTATCTGTCTGTCTATCTGTCTATCTGTCTGTCTGTCTGTCTGTCTGTCTGTCTATCTGTCTATCTATCTATCTGTCTGTCTGTCTGTCTGTCTATCTGTCTGTCTGTCTGTCTGTCTGTCTATCTGTCTGTCTATCTGTCTATCTATCTATCTATCTATCTATCTATCTATCTATCTATCTATCTATCTGTCTGTCTGTCTGTCTGTCTGTCTATCTGTCTGTCTGTCTATCTGTCTGTCTGTCTGTCTGTCTGTCTATCTGTCTGTCTATCTATCTATCTATCTATCTATCTATCTATCTATCTATCTATCTATCTATCTATCTATCTATCTATCTGTCTGTCTGTCTGTCTGTCTGTCTGTCTGTCTGTCTGTCTGTCTGTCTATCTGTCTATCTATCTATCTATCTGTCTGTCTGTCTGTCTGTCTGTCTATCTGTCTATCTGTCTATCTATCTATCTATCTATCTATCTATCTATCTATCTGTCTGTCTGTCTGTCTGTCTGTCTGTCTGTCTGTCTGTCTGTCTGTCTGTCTGTCTATCTATCTGTCTGTCTATCTGTCTATCTGTCTATCTATCTATCTATCTATCTATCTATCTGTCTGTCTATCTATCTATCTATCTATCTATCTATCTATCTATCTATCTATCTATCTATCTATCTATCTGTCTGTCTGTCTGTCTGTCTGTCTGTCTGTCTGTCTGTCTGTCTGTCTGTCTGTCTGTCTGTCTGTCTGTCTGTCTGTCTGTCTGTCTGTCTATCTATCTATCTATCTATCTATCTATCTATCTATCTATCTATCTATCTATCTATCTATCTATCTATCTATCTATCTATCTGTCTGTCTGTCTGTCTGTCTGTCTGTCTGTCTGTCTGTCTGTCTGTCTGTCTGTCTGTCTGTCTGTCTGTCTGTCTGTCTGTCTGTTTTCGATTCATTGCCCAGCCCTAGCTCTTGCTGAACAGATTTGTCAACAAATTCATCTTTAATCCAATTTTTGACCAGTTAAACAAGTGAAACCAGAGTTACTTGGGTGAGTGTTTTTATTGAATGAATGAATGAATGAATGAATGAATGAATGAATGAATGAATGAATGAATGAATGAATGAATGAATGAATGAATGAATGAATGAATGAATGAATGAATGAATGAATTCACTGCTTTCAGGTTTAACTTCACATGTAACAAACCCTGATGTTGTGGTTTAAAACTGTGGCTCATTAATGTGTTGATCTTTCGAAGAGGTACCACACACGGCGCTGTGGTGGGACTGCAGCTTTTATTTGTCTCATGGCATTTTTCCAGTGTGCTGGTTTTATTTGCTGATGGATTCAATACCTGCTGGTGCACTTAATGTCCACTACATTACCAGAGTGTGTGAACGCTTGTTGTTTAAAGGCTTGGATCTTTATGACCTCCATTCCCCACTAAATTGAATCAGTTTAAAGCATTTCTAGAAACAGCAACAGCCTGTTTCTTGTTTTTCTAGATGTTTTAAGGTAAATCATTTATCAATGCCAACTTGCTGTGTTTCACGAAGTTGGTAACTGAAGATGAGGCAATTCCTCATCTTCCCTTTTTGATTTTCCACTCCTCTAACAGCCTCCTCCTCTTCTCCTTCAGGAGCTGTTGTTCAGCGTCTGTGCCCTTAATGTCATCTCCACCATTGTGTGCGCCCTCGCCACCGCAATGTGCTGCATGCAGATGGTGTCGACTGATGTGCTGCAGATGGTGAGTGTGATGGACGGGCAGACAAAGCCACCGACAACTGTTATTTCACGTCTCCAAACGCACACTCAGAGGCAGTGCGCTGATGTCAACATGATGCAGAGTGTGAAGAAAGTTAAGACCCAAGAATCTCTGACAGAACCGAAGTTTATGAATGCTTAAACAGACTTTATATTTAAATGTGTTGCTGGTGGCCACGTTTGGTTTTACAACAGGCTGCAAATGTGGCAAATCAGCTGTGATTTGAAATGCACAAAGTTTGGAATGCAGCCCAACATTCCTGTGTTTGGTTTGTTTCTGCATCATATGAAAACTAAAACAAAACAGTGAAAATGGGAAGTAAAGGGATAGAAACGATCTTTAGGAGCATTTTTTGTGTCTTACCTGTTATAGCTTGGAACAACCTGGGTTAGAAGTAGTTGGGATTCATTCCTACAATGGCTTCTCCAAGCAGGGCTAGTTGATTAAGATAGCTAATCGTATTCGTGTTCACTTGGTAATTTATTTTGGTAAAACAGGTATTTAACTTGACCTAATGTGATGTGTAATCATGGCTACTCTATGCTGTGTTTAGTTTATGCCACACAGAGCTCGAGCCTTAAATGCTGAGTGTATGACTCCCCACGGCACCATCCTCCATCAAACTCTGGACTTTGATGAGTTCATCCCCCCCATTCCTCCACCACCGTACTACCCCCCAGAATACACCTGCACCCCCTCGATGGACGGGCAGAGGTGAGAAACCAAATGGCTCTGCTCAGCCTTGCAGCTACAGCTCTAATTTGTGTGTGTGTGTGTGTGTGTGTGTGTGTGTGTGTGTGTGTGTGTGTGTGTGTGTGTGTGCGTGCGTGCGTGCGTGCGTGCGTGCGTGCATGCGTGCGTGCGTGCGCGCTGTACAACAATCAAATTTCAAATGCACAAAAGGTGATGAATACTAAAAAGATTTCTAAAAAAAATGAAGCCAATTAGTGTCGATGCAGAAGAATGATTAGGATTCATCACTTTTTTATCAACTTCACTGAAAATCTATTTTAAAATTATTGTTTCCGATTATCAGTCCCTCTGAGATTTTCATGCAGGCTGAACATGAAAATAGTCTCCTGCACCTATCTCCTGCATTCTGATTAATAGACGGTGAAACTCTATGACAGGTTGTCCAGCACGTTTTGGTTTTAACCCAGCTTTAACACACCTGATTTCAATTAGTAGGTGATTAACAGGCTTCTGCAGAGCCTGACCAGCTGCTGGATCAAGTGTGTTGGACCAGAGAAACCATTAAAATGTGCTGAACACCGGCCCCCGAGGCCCGGAATTGAATAGCCCTCCTCTAGGATTTGAAAAGCCTGAAAGTCCTGCGTCACACTGTCAACACTCATGGACTCACCCATCTTGAATCACAATGGGGAAGGCTGTAGTTGGTTTAGCGTCCAGGAAACAGCGAAGAACATCTTGGCTAGCAGAAGCTAACAATTAGCATTACCAACTCCACCACATAGCAGAACTCCTCCAGGCTTGTGCTATTTGTGGCGGTAAAACATCAACGTTGCAGAGCAAACAGAGTTGTGTTTCTGTTGTTCATTCTGAGGCGAGATGTGCAGAAATAAGTCTCCAAATCCTGCCGTCTTCAGCTCTCCTCTGCTGCAGCAGACTTGTCCGTGCTGATGCAGGCGTTTCTGGATTTTGTTTTGCCCTGAGTGCGGCTTGCAAGGCGTTCCTGCCAGAGACCGCCGCAAATGTATTGAGTAAATGAGTTTCCCACACCTTTAACTCTCACAGGTACAATCAGAAATTCTGCCACCGTCTTTGCAAACCTGAGAGCATTTCTTGCCTTTTAGCCTCTCTGGAGGATTAAATGACCCCCCCCCCCCCCCCCACACACACACACACACACACCTTCTCTCTCTCTCTCTCTCTCTCTCTCTCTCTCTCTCTCTCTCTCTCTCTCTCTCTCTCTCTTCATAACTCCCTCTATTTTCTCACTCTTGCTGCTGCAGCTCTTTGGCAGGAAGCCACATCTGTTTGTCAGTTGTGCCATAAATAAATACAAAGCAAAGGAAACATTTGTGGTGTTCCTGCTCAAGGCCACGGAAGTCGTGACATCATCATGCCCGGGATGATTGGTGGAAGCGCGGGTTGTATTTCACTGTCTGCTGTTTGAGTGGAGAACGGAGTTGTAATTAAAAGATACGAGAGCGCGCATGGCTGCTTGTTCTTAATTGGCACCATAAGAACCAGTGGTGGCACACAGAATAGAGATCAATGCTGCATGATTGGATACGAGCTCTGAGGATATCATCCACCTTTTCTTTTACTTGACTTTAGCAGAAAATATTTAGATTTGACTCAGATATTGACTCTTTGTGCAGCTACAGACCCAACATTGTGTGACTTAATTTCTTTTTCACGCTTTCAGAGTTTAATGGGTTTGCTTTTGCGTCCCTGACAGAGGTCTACACCTGGACTTTCCTCATTCTCCCTTCAGTGCCATCTATGGGGTTCCAATAAACAGTCCAGGAACTCTTTACCCGACCGACCTGCCGCCTCCCTATGAGTCTGTGGTGGGTCAAACCCCCGCCAGCCAGGTGAAGAACAAAACACCCTTATTAAGGCTAAATGTGTGTTTTTACCTGAACTCACCACCTTCATATAATCAAAGCTTTATTTTGTTAGTTCCTGTCGTTCACTGTGTAAACAAGAAAATCCACCATGCAGCTTTCTGCTGCAGCGTCAGTTTCCTTTAATACCACGGCGTTTAACCCACCACTCTGCTGTACGGGTTATTCCACAGGTGATTATTATTTAGACCAGAACTATGCAAACTAAAATCTGGTTTTATTCACTGAGATGAGCAGCAGGTTTTCTGAATCATGTGGGTGATTCTTGCTGAGGTTTTATGTCCAGCTCTTGATAATTCATTAGAACCCATTCATGTTTGCTGGTCCGATAGCGCCCTCTGTGGACCGCTCAGGGATAGTGTTGTTCAACTACAGCACAGCGTTTTATGTGTTACACATAGCACTTACATTACAATGCATGGGTGTGTTGTTTACTATTGATAATGTAATTTTCACAGGTGACCACCAGCATAGAGCAGCAGGCCACTGAGTCCAGTCTGTGTGAGAGAAACACCACTGCAGGGCTAAGCACGCAGGGTAAAACCAGTTCCACAGTCAAACGTGTTCTCCTGGTTAAACTCGTGCCTAAAATCCTTTTTTTTTTTTTTTTGGTCCAGCCTCAGTGGACAGTGCATCGTTGATGGTGTCTGAGGTGGTCGACCACGACCAGACTTGCTCCTCGGAGGACTTGTGCTCCCTAGAAGTCCAGGGTTCTGACTGCTCTCCCTTTGGAACGCTGCAGACTGCCCCCACCAATGGGAGCTGCACCAGTTTGGAGCTGTACACCCGCGTCTCTTCACGTTGCCATCGTGGTTTGCCCAACACTGATGCGCGCCCCAGCGATACTGGTTACAGCGAGTCTTCACACACCCAGGACTCTCTGGAACGCTCACCGGACTGGTCATCAGAGAACTTTAGCAATTTGGACCAGGAGGATTCTGCAGAGAACTCACACCCATCTGAGGAACTCAGGGCTTCGATGCACATTTGTGACGAGCTGGCCTCAGCCAAGCATTTACCAGAGGAGCCACCAAAACCGCCGACACATTCGCTGATCAAAGCACGGATGATGAGCCGTAAGCTAACTCTCCCAGTCACCATCCCCCCACCGCCTCAGCCTTGCTCCCCCACCTCTGTAGCTTCTTCTGGTGGAACTTCCGCCATCAGCCCTTTGGCTCCATCCCCTTCCCCGTCCCCTCCCGCCAAACCACGAGGCCCAAGGTTGTGTTTCAGCGTTTGGTCACCATCCTCATCATCACAGCCCCCGTCTACCTCGGCCCAAAGTGGCCAGTCACCCTCAGAGAGGCCTCGGATGCTCAAAACAGCCAGGAAGTACCGCAAACTGGCACGCATCGTCCGCTCCACAAGTGACCCCATCTCCTGCTCCACAACGACAGGAAGTACGTGCACCAAATCCGACGCATTGACAGAGGCTTAGGATTTTAAGCAAATCACCAGAATCATCAGGCATCTTTTTAGTTAAATATTGCATTTGTTTTTTATTTTGTCACAAACTAAATTTTTCTTAATTCCTTAATGTTGAATAAATAGAAGAGAAGTTTTTTATGTATTTGTAGTCTTTGACAATTTTCTAGAGGTATTATAAAATAAACAAAGAAATTATTAAGAAATTTACCAATAAAATGTGTGAATCAATTGGTCCATTGGAAAAGCCTGGCCTTGACT